GAGCTGGCGCGCTACCACATCGATATTGCGGCGCTCAGTGAAACTCGGCTCGCTGAGCAAGGTAAGTTACATGAAGCAGGTGCTGGCTACACATTCTACTGGGTGGGGAACGCCGCCTCAGCACCATGTGAACATGGGGTCGGATTTGCAATATCCGACCGCCTGAATGGCCAGCTGGTAGGTGAACCAACGGGCATCAGCGCGCGGCTGATGACTGTTCGCCTACGACTCGGAAGAGGTAAGTTTGCTACTTTCATAAGCACGTACGGTCCGACCATGTGTTATCCTGATGACACGCGTGATCAGTTCTACACTGAGCTATCCTCCGTGATACGGTCTGTGCCGAAGAGCGACCGACTATTTCTGCTGGGTGATTTCAACGCGCGCGTTGGGCGTGATGCATCAGCGTGGACAGATGTTATCGGTGCGCATGGCATTGGTTCAGCGAATGCGAACGGTGACAGGCTGCTCTCACTGTGTGCCACTCACGGCCTGACGATCACGAACACTCGGTTTGCACTGAGTGCGAGCGATATAGCAACTTGGACGCACCCACGGAGTGGTCACGCTCACCTGCTCGACTATGTCATCGTACGTCAGCGTGATATGCGTGAAGTGCGCATGACACGTGTACTGCGTGGAGCTGAGTGTGGCACTGATCACAAATTGGTTCGGACCAAACTGTACATATATTTTCGTAAATCTATGTATTGCACTCCCGCCGTGAATCGGCGTAAATTTAACATTCTCTCCTTCGGCACTGTGGCGAAACGTACTGAGCTGGAGAAGGCGATGGCTGCACGCCTGTGTGGTGATGTGGACTGTATAGCCACAGTGGGCGACCTGTGGCACCACATTCGCGACCAGGTGACAGCTGCTGCGGAGGAGACCATCGGGCGCGCAAACTGTAAGCGGCCTGATTGGTTTGATGACAACAATGTGACGATTGACGCATTGGTGTCAGAGAAGAATGCAGCATTTGCTGCACATGTCGCAGACCCCAGTGACTTGGGGAAGAGTAGTCAGTTTCGCAAACTTCGACGGCGACTGACCCGAGAGCTCCGTCGCATTAAAAATGCATGGTGGACGGAGAAGGCGAAGCAGATGGAATGCTACGCCGAACGCCGTCAACACAAGGAATTCTTTGACTCATTGAAGGCGGTGTATGGACCGAGATTGGAGCCGCTGAGGACACTGATCGATGGTAGTTCAGGCGCTACCTGCACCCAGACTGCAGACATAATGCAGGTCTGGCGGAAACACTTTGACACTCTCTTGAACAACCGTTCAGAGATCGACTGGCCTACATTGAATGGCCTGAAGCAGCACGATGTGAAGGCGGATCTGGCGGATACGCCGACACTGGATGAGACGCAGAGAGCACTTGCTCAGCTGCGAAACGGCAAATGTGCCGGAGGTGACGGGATCCCACCTGAAGTATTGAAACACGGTGGACCCGCGTTGTTGACTGCGCTGCACCACTTGGTGCAACGCGTGTGGATTGAGGAGGAGGTGCCTGCTGAGCTGAAGGATGCCCTTGTGCTACCACTGTACAAGGGCAAAGGGAGCAAGCAATGTTGCACGAATTATCGTGGCATCAACTTGCTGAGTTGTGTGGGCAAGGTGATTGCCCGAATCCTGCTCAATCGCCTCGTGAGTCAGATTGTGGAACCAAACGTGGCGGAAGAGCAATGTGGATTCCGTTTGGGGCGCAGCACTATAGATATGGTGTTTGCGGCTCGTCAGTTGCAAGAGAAGTGCAGAGAACGACACCAGCCTTTGTACTCGCTTTTTGTTGATTTCACCAAGGCATTTGATACGGTGAACCGCGAGGCACTGTGGCTGGTGTTGGGTAAGTTTGGTTGCCCGCGTAAGTTTGTAAGTTTAATTGAATGTCTGCACAGTGGTATGCGAGCGAGGGTGCAGCTGAGTGGAGAGACCTCTGATGACTTTGCAGTTGTCTCTGGTGTGAAGCAAGACTGTGTGTTAGCTCCTGCTCTGTTTAATATCTATCTTCATGCAATGTTGTCTTGTGCTTTTGATGCGGCTTGTGCTTACGGTGTTCGTGTGGAGCACCGTATTGATGGTGGGTTGCTGAACATCCGTCGTTTCGGTGCGAGAACTCTAGTCTGTGAGACAACTATCCGTATGTTGCTGTTTGCTGACGACTGTGCGTTGTTTTCACACAGCGCGGATGAGTTGCAGCACATGACTAGTGCTCTGGCTTCGACAGCGGCCAAATTCGGGCTCACCATCAACACAAGCAAAACTGTCTGTCTCTTTCAGCCTTCACCGGAGGTGCAATCTTCAATATTGCCGCAAATCAGCATTGGTGCTGAAGTATTGGAAACCACCTCCCGCTTTTGCTACCTTGGGAGTGTGATGTCGACTGATCAGCAGCTACACGTTGAGTTGCGTACTCGCGTGTCGAAGGCGGCAGCGGCATTCGGGAAGCTAGAGTACCGAGTGTGGAACAACCATCAGCTTAGCATTGGCACGAAGCTGATGGTGTACAAATCCATGGTACTGTCCGTTCTTCTATACGGCAGTGAAACGTGGACGATGTACCGTCGGGATGTGCGATATCTCGAGCGGTTCCATCAGCAGTGTCTGCGACGAATTCTGCGGATCGGCTGGGGCGCCAGAGTTGCAGACACGGAAGTGTTGCGCCGAAGTGGGATGTATGCAGTGGACTGCATACTTTTATTGAGACACCTGAGATGGCTCGGTCATGTGAGCCGTATGGATTCGACGCGGATACCGAAACAACTCTTATACGGTCAGCTGAGTATTGGGAAGCGGCACGTGGGGAAACCAAAGTTACGTTACCAGGACATGATTAAAGTGAGCCTCACACGTTCTAATCTTGATTGCAGATCATGGGAATCGAAGGCGGTTGATCGGCGTGCATGGCGCGATCTAATCACAAAGGCAGTTGCTGAAGTGCGGGAGAAATCCCTCATGCATGCAGAGAAGAAGCGGCAGTTGCGGAAGCGGCAAGCACCGATGAATTGTACTCCATCGACATCGAGCGCATGGTGCTGTAAAACATGCGGTCGCGAGTGCCTTAGTCAGGCAGGCCTAGTGAGCCATGAGAGAGGTCACTCGGGACCACTGCCGAAGCGACGACGGGTCCCGCAGTGAACATAGGCAGCACCGGCGCAGCGTTTGTAGGCACGCTGAATTCGATTTACTAACCGCATGGTTGCATGCTAAGTCTCTTTATTTCAGGTGGTGGGTTTTCGGTTCTCTCCTAATGCCTTTCTTTCTCATATAAATGTCTAGTGGGCCATGAGCTGTGCCATTTGGGGCCACTACAGAAGCGACGATGGGTCCTGCAGAGAATTACGGCGAGCCGGCGCAGCGTTTGTAGGCACGCTGAATTCGATTTACTAACCGCGTGCTTGCATGCTAAGTCTCTTTATTTCAGGTGGTGGGTTTACAGTTTTTACCTTAATGCTTTTCTTTCTCATATAAATATCTCCCTGTACTCTATTCCATTAACTTGCACACATCGCTTCAGCCAATTGTATTCGATTTCCATAACATTTTTGTGTTCGTGGCATACCGTGAACTATACTTCCTGACCTCGTGCACTTAGCTGGGATTTGTTTGTAAACAACTTATTACGTATGCTATTTAATTAAGGTTTATGTCACCGTTTCCTTATGCATTAATCGAGTTTTTCTCTTTTTCTTTCTCTCTCTCTCAAGTGATTGGCTGTTGTTTGATATCCCCGGTGTGGCTGCGCTTGATGTGCATGTTGACAAGGTGCCTACCTGTCTATTACCCACTACGTCGTCCATACTGGCTCCAGGAGACAGTTGGTCGTTGCTGGAGGGGACGGGGTGCACGGTCCTTGTGGCCGTGCTAGGCTCGAAGAGTGGTTCCATGCAGTCAGTGTGGAGCGGACTACGGTCCAGCCACCGCCTTGTGTGCGCTTGATTCCCGAAATACAGTGTGCTTGTGTTTGCCTGTGAAGGAGTGTGGGCCGGCTCCGTTGATGAAACGTGGCTCCCATCCGCATGCCTCCCGGTCTTATTCCTTCGGGTTTACACTGGATATGGGGTGTGTGGATAGAGCTGTGGGTGGTGCAGCGCAAGCCATCCATGGTCCCTCTGTAGGCGCAGGCGTCCTGTGGCTTGCCACAGTGACAGGCAAATCCGAAACCGGATGCCGCCAACCATATATATATATATATATATATATATATATATATATATATATATATATATATATATATATATATATATATATATATTTTATATATATATATATATATATATATATATATATATATATATATATATATATATATATATATATATATATATATATATATATATATATATATATAACGTAAGTACTGCGGAGAGGAAGCTGAGCTTAGTTGGCAGATGGCATCCGTCGTTAAACAGAACACATGGCCACAAGCATAAGGAAAAGCGACGCCCAGGTATTTTATCCTATCAGGCCTCGCCAGCTACGCACAGTCCGTCAATCCGCTCTTCATGATTGACTGATCAGGTTAATTTGAGAGCTCTATTTAAACCAAATTGTCCCCCTATCCAGCCACGCTGAATAGAGCACAGTACCTAAAGTGGTGGTGAGCAGCCGCTACTCAGGAACGGGTTCTCTCCTGTGCAGCAGTTATATGTGGCATAGCGAGTGAAAGATCGCGCAACTAAGCACCTGGCCATTCGACCCCTGGTAACCATTGTGACCGACAGGAGGAAGCCCCCTGTTTGTAAAGAAACCAGTCTCGAGCTGTTCATCGAACTAAAGGAGGTAGAACTTCTAGATAGTCACAAAAAGGGGAGACGGCGGTTCAAAGTCTAATTGGATAGCAGAGGCTGTCCGCTTCGGCGTAATAGAGGAAAATTCTGTTCAAATCACTTTGGCCCACTACTACATTGGTGTGTTTGCCATCCCACGAATTCGGCTTGGAAAGCGGTTCATTTTCCATTTGAAAGCATGATAAGGTGAGTGTACAGACTTACCGATTGGCCCGTGGTGCTATTAACCCGTCCCAAGATTCGCCAGCATCGTATTCCAGAATGAGATGGACGTCTTCTTTTGGAACGGAATGTAGTCCAAAGTTCGCAGGTGCCTCCAAGACTGTGAGAAAAGGAAGATGAGGATGACAGTAACGAGTAGATGTGAATGAGGTACGGATTGATTTACAGCGATAAGATGAAATACAAAGCGCAAATATGTGAAAGATGTAAGGAAGGCATCAAATTCTGGCCGGTATACGCGGCTGCATCCACGCAGTATTGGACAGAGTAGTGTGAAAAGACGTACGCGTAACGTTCACCAAAAGACCACACAGTAGACAGATTTGGTTTTCGGAAGATGAGATGAGATGATGGGATCATGTCCCAGCTATGATAACTCTAACAGACGAATGCATTTAAGTACGAAAGCGGTCGTGCGGCGTAATGTGAGAAGTGAGCAGCAATGAGCTTCCGTCCACTTCGGACACAGCAACAGTGATAGAGGACAACCTCAAGGTGAATCGTCTGTCATAAATCCTGCACACGAAGATACATCAAAAACAAGCCAACGATTGATCGCAGGAGTTTATAGACTTGCGATAGGCAATACAAACTAAAAGCCCCGACCTACGGTAGTATAAATAAGTGGAAGTATGCTTGACCGTCGTCGTCCAGTGCTCAAGAGGTGGTGGTGATGTTGGTGGTGTAACATAGCAACATCCTGGTGGTGAGTTTCACGTGGATCTCAATGCCCGGAGTAATCAACCCATGACCAGTGCGAATGGCAATAGTGATAAAAGCTTGGTTAATTTGCTCGAAATCTGGGTGTTCTCATAGGCGGCTGTCGGAAGCGCGGAACGGTGCAATAGGTAAGGAACCGGCCGTCTGACCGCCTCGTCATAAACAAGAATCACTGTTGCAGCCTGTGACTGCAGTGCAAACAACCAGTGAGCACACGGAACATCTACCTGGGACTCATATAGGCCAGAGTTCATCTGATCAATAAGAAATACAGTTGACAGCTTTGATGTACGGGTGTTGGTGATCAAGCGATCAGTGACGATGGATGGGAAGATGACACATGCAAGGTCAATGATGAAAAACCTATCTTTCGATGCGATCAGATTGACTACTTTGAGTCGCGACGGTCACTTCCTCTGTGGAGTGCGTGTTTTCGTTAAGCTCACCGCATGGAAACGCTATGGCGAGCGATGCGAAAGACGGAGAGATGTGGAAGCTATCATTAGAATGTTTGCAGCCAACAAGTGATAAACGCAAGTATATACAAAGATAAACTAAAACCGGGCACGAAATTCGTGTTACTGGACAATCGATGTAAGGGAAAAATAAGCCGAAATGGAACATGCATATAACAAAAGATTTTCTCCGGATGCCTTGCTTCACATCTTACTACGAATCTCTGGTGGTAAACTGGCCCTCATCCGAGGAGAAAGCCGAGCTGCGAGTGCAACATCGGCACCTTCACGCGCCAATCGCACGGCCATCACAAGCGCGTTTCCACCCAAACTGAACGAACCCGAAGCAGTGGCATGCGGGCGTTCCGGGCACGGATCTGGCGACAGAGGAGCGTGGAAATCGTTTCGCAATTCCTCAGGAAGGATATTTGTAGCCGCATGCAACAGCTGATCGAAAAGCGCATCATTCAGAAGTACCCTCCTATACGGATGAGAAGAGAGGAAATAGCACACGGCACATAAATGAGTAGTGTTAGAGGAGAGGAAAGCTTGCGCACGGATACTGAATACCTGAACTAGAAGAGAGAAGTCATTTTGTACAATTAATGGTAATGCATGAGTAGTGAGTGTAGGTTATTAAGGTATTTATTCTCAATCCAAAACTGGATACATCATCAGCACTCATCACTGGGGTCAAGGAACTCGACCACACCGGGTCATCCCGGGGTGGAATGGGAGATGATGTGTGCCGTATCCACGACAGCGATACGGTCGAAGTGGACAGAACGTGAGGAAATTCCTTAAGGGATAACTTAGGCGCAAGTGTTTTATACTTACGAAGCATCCACTCTGTTGCATACATTGGGCGATGCGGAATACTACCAGATATTAAATGAAATATTCATCAAAGTTGAGGGTCACTTTGAAGTAAACGTTGTGGTTGGATTGTGACGCGCAATCTCAATGTTGACCGCGATTCCCACTGAAGTGAACCTTGGTCTTTCGATCATGAGGACCGTAGCTGATGCAAATAGAAAGTGGGTGTTGCCCGCACGAAAACACTGCACTACTACGACGCGTTCCGATGTTATTACATCCCACCAGATAGAGTAAGCAGGAATCGAACCCGGGACCAATGAGATGTTAGTTGTGACCGCTACTCCATATTCATCAAAGTTGTTGAGAGTGGGTCACATGCAAGTTCCCCGAATATCACAGTGATATGAGCAAAGTGGGATGCTGAGACATCCAGTAGTTCCACCATGAAAGCGTATGGATCTAAGAGATGGGGGAAAGTGGGGACAATCTTTCAAGGTATATGATATGATAGAGTCGATACCGAACAACCGCGAAAAGGGTGGTTGCAACATCCAGTTACGAGGCAACCAAATGAACTCATAAAGTGAGGTATGGTAAAAGAGAGGGGAATGACATCAGTAGAACTATCAGGAAGAATAAACTACCACGGATAGAGGATACGCTGAAAAAATCAGGCGCGAATGAGTGGTGCATATATCACTATTATGTTGTCGAAGGTTAGTATCTGTAAATACCTAAAGATGGCAGTAGCTTATGGTTACTTCAGAAAGATAGTAACCGACAGTCTGCAACGACTTTTATGGTGCCGGGTAGCACGATCGATCATTGCAGATGCGAGATGTTGACTGGCGTCCACTGGATCCATAGCTGCAATGAGGTGCCAATTGAGGGCGGCCAGCATTTGGATGACTCGCTGGTCGGATCGTTGAAGCCAAATCATTGAAACTATAAAATTGATCCACTAAGGACAAATGCTGCAGTAGATGCTCAAGAAAACATGTTAAGAATAGAAACGCTGTCGCGAACAATGCACAAGGGGATACTCGTATGCTGTGATGAAGCATTTGGACTATGCATAGGATCCCAACAACAAGGGTTACACGCTTGCTTTCAGCGCTGTATAGCCAAAGGCGTGGAATATTTCTATTATCTGAGTGGCGCAAAACAGACGCTCGGAAGACAGCTGGTAGCAGAGCTTGCATTCTACCGGCAATTTCAACCTGGGCTGATGGACAGAGATTCGATCAGTTGTTATTCGCTGCCTCGGGTACATAGACTTAGCAAAAATGGTAGCACCAAAAGCGACTGTTAGCCTACAGTCCGAGTGAGCATAAGGATGGACATGACGATAGACGCTGGTAGTGATTCCCGAAAAGACAGGTCTGTGAAGTTAGAAAGCTACTCGTAACGTAGTTTAATGGTCAGTGTCTGTCAAACCGATAAACGTGATTGATGCATTCGAGTGGAAAATGGAATTTAAGCTGCAACTCCTCATCCACACAGATGATCCGAGTAACAGTCATTCAAATTAACAGCAGTAAGCAAACGAAATGTAAAATCTTGGAAAGTAAATGGAATACCGACACAATTAACATTCAGTATGGTATAAAGTTGATAACATATTATCATTATTATACACGTTAGAAGCAGGTGGAAAACACCTCAGCTATTGATAACACACGATAATCAAGCTTTGAATAACAATGACCAAGTAAAACGCCTGTCCAGGAGTCTTGAGGTGAAAAACCATAGAAGGAAATAGGACAAGAAGGGGTAGTAACGAGCAGCACAAAGAACAGCCCAATCTGAGTAAGGTTATTTTATATGAACAAAAGGTAATCTGCGATAGTGTTAATAAAAGAAGAACGGTGTCAAGTGATGAAGACCATTCTTTCGTAGACTACTAACACCGACGGTGACTAACCGCTTGGTGATCTACAGGTTAGCCTGGAAAGATGGGGCGTATGAAATAATTAATAACATGCTTGGGTTGTAGGCTGTTGTTTCAACATTTAAATGGGTCAAAGGATGTGTAACTGTTATAAAGCCACCAGCCTCAATACTTCCTCTTACAGATCGTTCAAATTTACCGTCTTCCGGCGGCCTATTGGTCGACCAGCTAATTGGGTAAGTGAAAGACAGGTTACAATGCGCTACAGTAGATGATCTAATCAGACTGACTGAAAATGTCAGTAGCCGTCTGAGTATATAGACGACCAACCACGTGTGGCATTCTAGAGCATGAAGACCATCCATATTGAGTTAACCACGCCTGCTCATGATATCGCTTAGTGTTAAAAGGCGTTTAAGGAATTCCATTTATCTAGACATTTCCGTACTGCAATTCGCGAAGCCTTGTTATGTCCCATATATACCATTTTCACTTTAAACTGGACATTTTTCAAACCAAACTGGACATTTTGCAAACCAAAGTGGACATTTTGCAAACCAAACTGGACATTTTGCAAACCAAACTGGACATTTTGCAAACCACATTGGACATTTTGCAGGCCAAACTGGACATTTTGCAAACCAAAGTGGACATTTTGCAAAACAAATTGGACACGTTGCAATCTAAGTAGCAACTGGCCAATTTGTTGGTAAGAAACGAGCAGTAAGACTGCTGAATGATGTTCAGAATATACATTGTGATGACGCTAATACACCGGCATTGTGTAAGCAGCGGGCTACACTGTAAAACATTTGCTTGCTCGTGAGCAGCGACCGAAGTTCTGAACTACGCTCCCCTCTCCCCATTGACATTCGCCTAGTTGGTGTGCAGTGCCCATACGCATCAACCTGTGTAGGTGTGTGACAGTTGGAAAATCGGACTTCCGAATCGTAATTGTGTATCAATCATTTTGTGAGTGGATTGCGATGCGCAATCTCAATGTGCACCGTTATTCTCATTAGAGAGAACCTTGTCCGATTCGGTCAATGGGACCATGTCGGATGAAGCAGGTAGGCGGTGTCCCAGCTTCGCCCGTCTCTTTATTAGCTTTCGCAACTGCCACGTTATTGTATCAGCGTAGGCTGTAATGACCCCCAGCAAAACCAGTCTAGAGCTATAGCCTATTGTTGCAACATATCAACTACTGAGGAGTGGGCCGATTACACGATGTTCAGGTCACATTGTGGTCACGATAATGTAACCGAACTGCGTACGTAGCGGGTGATTGTGTAAGCCCTTCTCTTGACATGAGTGCCGTTCGCCTCGGTCAAAATCGGTGACCTATTTTCCCCTACACCCCCCCATAGGAATTTGTGTGTTTTGTCTGGGTGTGTGGACCGACCTATGCAGCGGTACCACTATTGAAGCCGAGCATACGATAATGGTTCCACTCAACACAACTTAGTTTTATTAGCTCCGTGCCGCACGAAACGACCAAAATGTGTGACGAACAACAGGAGAGCTGGTGTCCGACGCGACGGCACTGCAGGCGAACATCATTTGCGCAAAGAGAAATTCTCACAAAACTTGTGCTGGTCGACGGCAAAACTACTCGGGAAGCCGCTGAAGTCGCCGGTGTTAACGCGAGTACGGCAAGGAACATCATTAATGCCTACAAGCGAGAAGGCTCAAATACACAGCGCACCTGCGGTGGAAACAATAGGGAGAAGCTGACTCCCAATGTATTGCAGCGTGTCGAAGAAGCGGTTGAACGGCACTCCGAGGACACGTTGGTGCAGCTGCAGATGCGCCTGAGAGAGGATGGGATAAACCTATCAGTATCCTCTGTCTCCAACACCCTCAGAAGACTAAAGATAAATCTCAATAAGTGTCATTACGAGCTCGACCGAGTCAACGGTGCCACGATAATCGCTAGCCGACAGGCGTACGCTCTCGAATTCTCGGTGACCGTCCTGCTCTTACACGCTAAGCCAACTGTTAATATTGAAAACGCACATTTTGAAATTGAAATGGTGTATTAACAAAAAATAAGGCAGTAACCATAGCAAAGATCAGTTGACGAAGGGTTGTCCGGCTGTCGCTTTCGTCAGGTTCATCATTGTATTGAGAACGCAGTTCATGCAGTCCTGCTGCGTTACCATCCCAACGCTGTCCTGAATGACCGTGCTCAGCGTCTGCTCAGGTGTGGGGTTAATAAGCAGGCGTCTCGCTGACGCTTTCACCTTTGAAAAGACGTGTTCTACCGGGTTTAGCATGTACGAGTAGGGCGGCAAGAACCGCACGTGATAAGACGAACCAAGGATCCTCCTTAGCTCATCAGGCATATGGATCCTGGCATTGTCCATGATCAGCCACGCGCCGTTCATCTCCACTATGCAGCTTATACGCGCCACCAGTTCCTCGAGGAACGCTGAGAACTTCGCACCATTGCAGGTGCCATCGTTAATGATCTTTGAATGGATGACGCCTTGGTTATTCATTGCAACAATCAGGGTTACCATGCGACCTCTGACTGTGGGTAACACGACGTTCGCGCGCGTCCCTCTTCTTGAGCGAGCCTGAGTTCGCCTCAGATGAAGGTTGAAACCACTCTCATCTATGAAGATGCATTTCTCCTTGTTAGGTGCATGTGCCGAGAACTCGAGAGCGTACGCCTGTCGGCTAGCGATTGTCGTGGCACTGTTGACTCGGTCGAGCTCGTAATGACACTTATTGAGATTTATCTTTAGTCTTCTGAGGGTGTTGGAGAC